CCCCCCCCCCCCCCCCCCCCCCCCCCGCAAACCCACACACACAGAGAGAGTATGAGAGATTTCAATTTACCTTTTTTGGGTCATCCATGTTAACAAATCTTGGATTTTCTTGAAAAAATGGGTTTGCCTTGGTTTTTGATTTGAACAATGCAAAGATCAGTAAAATGAAGAATATAGAGAGAGACTTTAAGGTCGAAAGAGCAAAACCAAAAACAGAAAGATAACAGCGAATGTAGTATTATTGAGTTCTGTCTTGTTTCCTAATATTTTCATCATACTTATATGCAGAATTGCCACCACACGGTTTGGCTTTTTCTGCTCTACTGGACTTTGCCCTTTACAGGCTCCATGCTAGCTGTGATTTCTTAAGCACAATAAAGAATCTTTTGTAATGCAAAATCAGACAAGAAAACCTCTAGGGACACGTAACCATTTTTCTTATCCAATAGGAGAGCTGATCAAGCTTGGTAATTTTTCTTCACCACTACAATGTAGATTTCCTTACAAGATAGGTCCATCCTTATGTTCAAGTGACACCTCCCGAACATTTCTGGGAGGCGTGTTTGGGACGGGGACTAAAATATCAAAAGAAACAAATTTAAAGATAGATCCTAAATGGCCAAACATTTTGAAAAGAATGGTTGGTGGTTACAAGGTTGTTGATAAATTTATGTCACCTTGCACATTTTGTTTTGTCATGGTCATGGCTGACCTTTTAAAAGGAAAATGACAGTTGGAAATTTTTGTGTTAAGGGATAAAATCCAACATCGAATAAAGATGAAAGTATAGACCAATTTATAAGAGTTTGGGTTACTCCTCTTAATAAGATTGACCTTTTAAAATGGAACCACAAATCTTAACATGGTATCAGAGTACATTAAATTTCAACGAGCAATTTGATCCAATTAAGACTCAAAAAAAATTGAGCACACAGATTTCAAGATTGGTCTGTTCAAATGTGTCACCATCTTACGGGGGCATGTTAAGGGATAAAATCTCACTTTGAATAAAAATGAAAGCATAGACCAATTTATAAGAGTTTGAGTTACTCTTCTTAATAAAATTGACATTTTAAGATGGAACCACAAATCTTAACATGGTATCAGATCTCATTAATCTCTAACGAGTAATTCGATCGGATTAAGACTCCAAAAGTGAGCATACGGATTTCAAGATTGGTCTGCTCAAACGAGTTACCATCTTGTGGGGACATGTGAAGGGATAGAATCCCACATCAAATAAAGATGAAAGCATAGACCAATTTATAAGAGTTTGTGTTACTCCTTTTAATAATGTTGACATTTTAAAATGGAACCTCAAATCTTAACATCTTGCTCATACAAAGCAGAGTAAAAGTCTGTCGGCAAAAAAAGTGCCTTTTTTTTTTTTAGAGCTTGTTTGGGAGTGATTAAAATCAGATTAAAATTGAAAAAATAGCCGTTGGAGTTGACTTTTATTAGACGGGTGGGACCCAATAATGACTATATTTTCAATTTTAATTGGATTTTAATCCTTCCCAAACAAGCTCTTATTGACTTATCTCAAAAGTGCAAACTTAATCATGAATCAAAATTAATTAATTAATTAATTATTATTATTATTATTTAATGAAACAAAGACATATATCAATATGCGTGTATCATACCTTTTGTTCCACTTCGAGTTTCCATGTTAATAGGAATTCTTTCGATGGCAACAAAAAATTTTCGTTGTATGTAAGCGTTTCCGAATCTACATTAAGCCCTTGTTTGAGCCCTTTTTTTCCCCAAAGATTCATTTTTTCAAAATTCATTTTCTACTTTGCATTCTCCAATAAAATAATTTCACGTAAATTAAAAAAAAAAATCTTATTTTTTAATCAAATTTTTCAAAAAAAATAAAAAATTCACCGTTTCAAAATACATTTTTCCCAAAATATGGCTAAAACAAGGGCCAAATTGCTAGTTTGAAATTGACAGCACAACTTAAAAACGCTTTTGAATTATCGAAAGAAGACTGAAGTCATGGTCAGAAACCAGAAAATCAAAATCAAAGGTAACAATAGCATGGTGTTCCGGGCTACACGAAGAAGTTTTACACATTTTAACCAGAGAGCCTCGACCGGGCTCTAAAAATGAATGGAAGTTCATCTCTGAAAGCACATTATGCCAATACACTTTATGTCTAAGAGATATTCAGTCAACTAAATAAGTATTGAGATCTTCATACATTAATATCTGTACGCTTTGATCTTGCCCCACCAATCTCTTGGTAGCCCGTCAATGCAAATCGTGGGATGTTATAATTGTCTGGCGTTGACATTGGCCTCTGTGGATAAAGCGTGGGAGGTGGCGTCAGGTTGTGCTGAGCCGGTAGCGGAGGAAGCGCATTGTACTTGTACTGGTCGCCAATCAAACTGCAATTGAAAGGAGATGCAGAAAATAATTGAACAAGGTTAACAAAATATCCTTCGGGGTTTTTTTTTATTTTTAGAAATTTCATGCTTCAAATATCAATGGACACTGAAGCTCGACCAAGGTGCAATTCGTTCCTCATAAGCACATGATACCCGGGTGAAAATTCGAACAGCTAAAGAAAAGCCACTGAAATATGTGGGGTGCTATTAGCAAAAAATTGGGATAATTTGAATATTTCATCATGATTATGCATATCATACTATGTAAGACTAATTCATAAGCTTTTATCGAAAAATATACCAAAAGTTTCCTCAGCAGTGTTTTTCATGTCATACCTGGAATTCATGTTCTGCCGATCCTCATCACTCAAAATTTCACTTGATTGTCCCAATGACTTGTGAATTGAGGTCGACCAAGGGCTGGCGCCAGGCAATTCATCTGAAAAGTATCTTCGCCGGATCAACTGCATAAAACATACAGTTTTATCATATTTCCATAGAGAAATTGAAGCTCGGTGTAGAATGGGAAAAACAGACCATTCGAAAAAATTTCATCATAGCTTCTTTATCGTATCTCGCTTCTTTAGCAGCCTGTACCCATCAAAAGACAATCCTAACTTAGTCTGCTGATAAAGATATCCAACATAAGCAATCTTAATATATTGAAAAATTGATGCTGCAAATAACATCATGTTTCTTCGTTGGAGACAATGTCTAAATAATATACATGTGATCTTATCTAACACTTTAAGCTTTTAGATCATGTTCAAAACGGTATTAGAGCATGCAAATGTCCAAGATTCAAGTTTCACCCCCACCCGTTTCAATGAAGTTGTGCAGGTGTTAGGCTTTGATGGGAAAATACAAATCCAACCTACACGTGAGGGGACGTGTTGAAGACAATATTTAAACGATATAAACGTGAACTTATCTAACCACTTAAGCTTTTAGATAAAGTAGTTCAACAATCTTAATAATTGAAAACTTCCTAAGATTCACTTTAAACACTACCTTCAATGGCATTTACTCTTTCTTTTTGTTTACTACACGGTATTGTACATGACTAGAAAATAAAATGAACAAGATTTTAGATTCCTTTTCTAATTATTATTGTGCAGTGCTATCCAATCTTCCCTATGAAATACACTAGCGATGTATGTCAGGAAGACAGTCACAAGTGTATAGTTTAACAGCTGTATTTCTGAACCAACAATGTTTATTCTGAATACCAAATTATTTTCTAATCAATCTTACTGCTAGAAGGCCTCCACTGCCCGGGAAACTCTCCATCAATGGGAGTTCGTCACTCGATGGAAGTAATCCTTGCTTCTCAACCCACTGGCGAGCAACATCAACAAGATTTCCACTGCTCCCTCTTGTATTCTTTTTTGTAGCAATATCTGCTTTGTTACCGATAACTATATAGGGAACAGGAAGGCCACCTGGACCTCCAGACGCTAAAGGAGCCGAGAATGTCCCTGTTGCTGCAATCTCTGCTGCCCACTTCTGCAAGCTTGTCTTCGTCCTCCTTTGTGAAAGATCATGCACAAACATTACACCTGAATCAAAGTTCAGGCGAGGAAGAAAGGCTCATGATCAGGAATATCACAGTTAAAATGCATGGAAATTCAAGCATAATTCTATTTGGAACAAGCAAAAGACTCATTATTTACCATTGATTTGTGAATAGAACAGGGACCGGCAATCTCTGTATCGTTCATGCCCTGATACATCCCAAAGTTCAATAAAAAAATCTCTCTGTACATCACCTTTGACGCTCTTCGAAGAGCTACCAGAAGTTCCATACGTAGTATGCTGCATTAAAGAGACAGGAAAAGATCGTCGAAGATATAAAAGCTTGTTTGGCACTGTTTATAATCAGTCAAGCTTACTTCTTATCCACACATTTCGTAGGACTCATAAGTACTATCCACCTATCCACCATTCATTTTCATCTATTTATTATTTAAACTGACTATAATCACTTCACAAACTTGCACTCGTCTAGTTTTAGCTATCAAATAATTGTGATGAACAAACAGAAGTCTTACCTTCACGCCAACCACACAGCCAATTGTTTGAGGAGGGCGAGCAATGGAAGAACCTTTCATAATCAGATGAACGAGAGAAGTTTTCCCAACACCTTCAAGAAGATCGAGAGTTCAATATGGAGTTCACTGTTGATGAAATATTATATAATACTATTTGACAAAGCTGATTTGTAAACTATTATATGAAACATGGCCAAAAGTTCTACCGCACAAACCTAGAATTTGAACATTAAGTTATGCTCAGCAGAGTTCGAACATTAACCTTCTCCATATTTTTAAATATTGTTTTATGTTTCCAGAGAGACTTACATATCAATATAAAGAACGTTTATTTGCTGGGTTTCTTGGTTTTTATTTGCTAAGCAAATACATATACAGTGATCAAAAGAGCAAAAACATATTCGTTTATTTATTTATTTTGGATCCGAAGAACGAAAAATGGTACCTAAGACATTCTAGTAGAGCAACAAATGCACTGTTTCACTTGTCTGAAATATGGACCCATGTGCAGGAAAAAAATCATAATCACTTGACCAAATTTTCCCAAAAAATGGCCTTTTTAATCATGTATCGGAGAATGCTCAAAAGAGGCTCTTAGAATACATAAACACAAAATTCTAATATTACAAACAACGTATGGAGACATTGCAGCATATAGCAGCGATCATCAACAGGAAAATCATGGAATCCAAGAATTGTGCTTACTAGGTTGATATATTTTAATTTTTATATTATAGATAGAGACATAGACATAAAATAGAAAAACCAACAAGTGTCTGCTTAAATAACATTCATTCCTCTGGGATACAGTTCATTGCAAGTGTAAGCTGTGATGCCCCTTAGTCTCAAAACCATTTCTTTTACTCCAAGTCTCCAACGCCCTTCAAAGTGACCACCATACTTGATCCTAACCAATTTGTAGACCTTTACATTTACATGTTTACCTGAGGATTAAAACTCTTACAGTACTCTTTCTGCATTTTATCAAATACAACTGAAACCATTTCATATAATCTCCAAAATCCTTCCCACAACTTCCATCACAATCCACCCTGACCAAATATGCGTATCTTGAAAATTTTACAAGTTCACTCACTGCAGGCAAAGCCTTCTGTCTACAATGTACATCACTCCTTTCCATATGGTCCTTGTTGGCCAGAATTTATAAATATTATATTTACACTGGATACTTTCTGTACTATAGAAATTACTATTTATGATAATATCTAACATCACAGTCCAATTATTTCATTTTAATTAAAGACATAATAATTCTATTGTAATTATCATACAAGTTCCGAATCACATTTTTTTTTATAACATAAAGTGAAGTATCAGGTACCTATTCAAAATCAAAACTAATGCTCATGCATGTCATATCTTAATCAACTCCGAAATTTTATTCTAAGCTCATAATCATCCATTTAAGCATTTAAAATTTCAAGCCCTTGCCCCCTTCAGATATTAATCAAATGAATCAATTCTATTATTTCTTCTCACTACCATGCATTCACATATTGCTAGTCACAAGATCACAAAACAGAGAGGGAATATGGTTGTGCAAGGAATGGAGGCAGATAAAATTGTAAACTAAGGTGGGCACTCACCCCTTGGCCCGGGAAAAAAGTGGGCCTAAATTTTTTTCTTCATACACATATTTCATGACAGTTGTAAATAATTTTATAGCTGGCCCCTCAAATGTTTTACAAGAACAGGACTCCACTAATTGAAAATTATCATAGATTCATGGAAAAACCATCAAATATAAGGCCTTTTGCCCATAAAAGTTAGAATAGATATATCTAACACTCAAAAGCAGCTATATAAGATGAAAATTAAAACTAAATCCAATGTAAATGAACGAATAAAACTAATTACAGTGTAAATAATCCATGTGCATTCCTATTTAGGGTTTGCCTTCCTTTTTTTTCCTCTTCAGGTTTGCCTTTTATATTTCTATTGTAGGATAAAAAGCTAGTTAAAAGGAATGGTAAAAATAAAAGTCTAATTTTTGAGACAAAGTTAGTCCAAACCTTTCCTCAAGTCAATAATGCATACCCCGTAAAAACGTACACCCAGCCACTTCTCTCTCTTTCCTACTTTAATTTTTGTCATTTTTCCAGAGTTTTCATCAGGCATCCATCTTTTGGAGAAGCTAGAGTTGAGGGTTAGGTGGTACAAATTACAAATTATTTCTTCCTTGTGTTTTCTTTTCACTGCAACGCTCTATTTGACCTCACCATACAACTTGTAAGCATGAGCTGATGGATATATCCACATATAATTTTAGAGTGAAGACTAATTTTCCTCTAAAATGGAGATAGCCCAGTCACCTCCAACACTATTTTAGATCTCTACTAAGATTTTCACACTTGAAACCAGCCAAATGTCTATGAACTGTAACCTGATAGCACGCACTCAGAAGGTTAATGCAATTATTTTTACCTATAAAACATCCACCAATAGCATTCTTATAGAACTGTGATAAAAATAAGTCTCCATTAAGCAAGAAACAGGACGTCCATGTTATATTAAACTTGAACCGACAAAGAAATTATATTATATTTTTATAATGAAACACTCAAGACAATTTTACAATTTAATATGGACACTAACCAAACACACTAGGACACTTCACTAATTATTTTACCAACTCTCAGCACTTCCCACTCACTATCTCCACTAACTCTTTCTTCACTTTTTCTCAATTCTCACTCTTTCTTTTTCTCTGCACTCTCTCTCTTACACAAAATACAATACAGCAAGGTGACAATGTCGGTGGCTTCCTTCTTCTACATATTTCTATTATGTCGGTGAAGACACATTCCTAATTCTAGATAATTCCCTTCGCGGCGGTGGACATAAATAATACAGCAGCCATTCTACAATCTTCATCCCTTGGTACAAATTGTAGCCAAAATATTCTGGAATTTTCCTTTGAAGTCGGTGGTGATTTTTCAGCCCAAGCATTAGAATTTGAGGTTCCCTGTGTTCATCTACAACATACTCCAAAACCGAAGAATAAAACTATGCAAGTCCTATGTTTGCTATGGTAGATTGGACAACATTGAATAATATTAAATAAGGTAAAGTATAAAACGTTGCTACTCCATGTTTTAGGTCCCCACATCGTCATAAGATCTACTTAATCCCACAAGTGAATTCACAAACTAAAGAATCCGTCAAATTACCTTCTATAATTCTGCAGTCTCAAGAAAATACAAACTTCAAGTAACAATATCAATAGATCAAACCCATCCACCACCACCACCACCACAAAAAAAAAAAAGAACAAATTTATTAATCAATATACGAAGATTAGGGTAAAATTCATAGAACAATAGGATTTTTGAGTTACCTGAATCTCCAACAACAAGCACTCTGACTTGCCCACAAGGAGGTCCACCATTCCCATTGTTCTCCCTTTCCTTTTCGCTCCAAAACATATTTCCTTCCTCCAACCCCAAGATAATTTACCCACCAAGAAAATTTGCTAAATGTCTAAAAGATTTCAACACACTATTTACTCAAGTCCCATAAATAAATACACTATATCTCCACGAAAACCAGCACTTTCTCAAATTTGATCTTTTATATTCCAGCGCAAAAACCCATATCAAACCCAGAATTTCAGTTTCAAGAATCCAGCATTGTAAATCCCCATAAAAAAAATGCTCAAAATAGAAGTAAATAAGATCTGAAAGAAAATGCTTAAAATATTGTAGTACTATATTATCAAACAAATCTTGGGGTATTGTACATTAAGAAATGACGGAGATGAAGGAGTGATCTGAAGGGCAAATGTGAATGGAGTTGAGCGAGAAATGAACACAAAATGAGAAAAATTGGTTATCTGTTATTAGAATAGCTCGCGCGTTGTGTACGAGTAGCAATTTAACCCAATTCCATTGCAATGTTTCGAAAATAGTCCAACTCTAAAAATATAAAAGCATTAAAGGTTAAATAGTTAAATTTTGGTGGTCAAAAGTATTAAATGAAACAAAATAATACAAAATTTTGATAGAATCAACCGACCTTGTCAAATTCTTAAAACGTTGTCCTATTAACCATGGTCACGTATGGCTAAAAATATTGATATTTACTAAATTTAGAGCGAAATTTTAGTTATTTGGCTATTTGTTTACGTAAAAATATTTGAATCAAATAACTCATTTTTAGAAACTTCAATTTAATTATTTTGTCTATTCCCGTTACTTAAATTTTCATTACACTAATAAAATGTTGAATTGACACTGACGTCACAAAAAACGTGATCACATTTATTTTAGAACATTTTATATTTCGTTCAAATGCAATGATGAGAGAATGGAATATATAAATTGGTATAATCAAACTTAAAAATCCCTCTAGAAATATGTTGAGATTTTGAAGGCGAGAATAGAAAATTTGACATTTAAATTTAATATGTTCTGTTTTAAAATAACAACTCAAAACCTCTTTTTATTTTCTCGATACCTTTTGCCCCTTGCTTAGTTTTAGTTGTGTGTTTCGTGTTCCTCCATCAATGTGCAAGAGGTTATGGCTGTGTCTGAGAACTATTTTCATCAAATTTTAAGAGGAAAAATGACCGTTGCTTTGTACTTGTGGGGCCCACCTGTGAGAGGGTGGGTCAAAAATGACTGCTGGAAAAGGTGATAATGGCTGGAAAGATCATTTTAATTGGGATGCAAAATCGCTACCAAACAGGTACTAAATAATATTCACGACAAAATTCTTTCTTTTTGTTTCAAACTCTATTATTTATCGATGTGTTTTCACCTACAGATGTAAAATTAGTGCCAAGGTAGCTCGAATCTTGTTTGGTTCTAATCTAAAAAGTTTCAAGAACAACATTGCTATAAAATTGTCGTGGAATAAAATGACTAACAAAAAACTATGTGAAAGTTAGCTCTTTAGAAGTTGCAACCCACTACTCGATATGCAAAGTGGGTTAAATAACTTAATTAACTATTAACTCTTTGCCTATACATAGTGGACAATAGTCAATATATTTTAAATTTAATTTCTATAAAAAAAATTAAAACCACAAAAAGGATTAAAACTATTGTTAAATGGCAGAAAGTGAGGTGGTTCCCACAATAGATTAATATATTTGGAGAGTTTAAACTTCTAGTTGAAGGACCCAAAATTGTGTTACCGCCTTACGATTTATGATTACATAGAATATCACTTTCTAGGAAACATATGTGGCTTTATTCGGTTTCACTTAAAAGTTGATAAAAATTGAGTAAAAATCAACAATTAATTTTCGACCCATTAACCAAAAGATGGAACAATATATACCTATTGATTATGTGAAGTCAAATAAGAATATTGTCGACTCATTAATCAAATGACTAGCTAGAAAGCTAAAAAACATCAAAGGGGATGAGGTTGATGCTTAGTAGAAAGCTATGAGGGTGCGTTTGATTGCAAGGGTGGAAAATATGTGGAAATAAAATGTTTTACAGGGAAAAAATTTGCCCAGAAAATGTTTTGCAGGGAAAATGATTTCAAGTGTATTTGATTAGTATAATTTTTCACCCGAAATTTTTTTAAATTTTATATTCGTTTGGCTTTGTTTTAAATGAAAATTGTCCATTAAAGTGATATTTTTTTTCCACAATTGGTTATACAATTTGTTTCCATTGCCAAAAAGTAAAAAAAAAAAAAAAGAAAAAAAATGTTTCCTAAAAAATCATTTTTTTAAATCTAAGTTTAATATTCGTTTGACTTTGTTTTACATGGAAATTGTCCATTAAAGTGAAATTTTTTTTTTACCGTTGGTTATGACATTTGTTTGCATTGCAAAATTAAAAAAAAAAAATAAATTGCATCAACCTGAAAAATCATTTTTCCACCAAGAAGGTAGGAATTTAATTTCCACAAAACCAAGGCAAATGACACGTGAGGGAAGGGAGAGCGAAAATGTTTTCCCTAGAAAATAATGCCATCAAACAAGCCAAATCCATGGAAATGGAAATCATTTTCCATTTTCCAAGGAAAACTTGGCAAATCAAACACAGCCTAATTGAAATTCAATCTTGCGATTGGAAATCCCCCGAACAAGATTCAATAGGACAACAAAGTTATTGGAGTAGTGTGTGGGGTGCTATATTGAATTTATTTCAAACCCCTCCCTATGATATAATAGTACCTAATTATTGATTGGATGACGAGTCAAGGTTCTTAATGCTTTCTATACCGGTTATCAATATGGTGCTTAGATACATTACACTTTTGATAGAAGAACATATTTGAGTGTAGAAGTGGGATCGCTTCCCTTGAGAATTGATGTTAATTTTCTATAGTAAGTTCATGGCCAAAATGTGCACAATCGCCAAACTCAATTATTCTCTTAAAAGTCATGTGCGCGTTCTATTGTCAAAGTTCGCAACCATAATTGTAGAGTTAAAGACATGGTCCACTCTACAGTTGGCAAACTATAGGATATACAAAACAAATTTCTAGTCGAAAAACACCTAACTCTGCATGATTTCTTTTGTACTTCAGAATAATATTTATATTTATTTTATATCTTTTATGCTGGTAGTGTCAGATATATATAATAATCATGCTACAAATCCAGGCCCAAATACAGGCTCAAATCCAGGTGGGACACATGTCGAAATCTGGTTGGACAGTTTGAAAATTTAAAACAAAAACAGCCAATCATTTTCTGACAAATAAGTCAGTCTCTCCCTTCCCTATTGTTCGCCCTCGCTAAGTGACTTTACCCTATATATAATATATATTATTGGAAGAAATAATTACAATGATATAGTTGGTTAAGTGATAAAAAGTGTGGGAGGTCAACGATTCGAATCAAATTCCACGCGAATATTAAAATACATGGCTAGGCGATTCCAGTCCTCGGAGGATTACTCAATCTGTGAGTGATGCAAGAATACCAAGGATCGTGAAACACTCGTTGAGTTATAGAAGCTCTGATACCAAGAGACATGATGAAAGCTTTGTGTATTTCCATTTATTATGAATACAAGCTGTATTTAGTTCCTAAAAATCAGTGAAGAATTAAAATACAAGACATATATACAATCATGCAATTAAGAACCATACTTTGAGGATTCTATAGAGGGAGATATGTGGGCAAATTCTAATTGTGAGATTGGGCAACGATGAAAAGTTACAACGAACATGCCGTGTATCTTTTCATTGTTGCCCAATCTAACAAGAAGATTAATTCTCCTTATTGAACAAGTCATAATATGCACAACATCAATATACCAGATTTCAGTTCCTGTTTTAATATTAAATAATCTAGCTACAAGTCATTCTTCTTTATATTATATTATTCCAATACCGAGGCAGTCAAATCAAAATGAGGCTGCAACAAAAGAAAAAAGAACGATCAGTGATAGTGCTTTCCACAGCAAAAACTGTTTTCGGCCGAAAGTGAAACCATCTGCCTCCTTCGACAAGAGGCCAGTCAATAGCGGCAGCCAAATCGATAGTCCTCAAGGGATCTATGGCACTGAACAAGTCATAGTTATGGTTCAGAAGCAGAAGAGAAAGAGAGAGATGAAGGTTGGTGTAAATTCCATTCATGAGTAGGCATTTGGTTATTGCAATAGACCACACAATTTGGGCATTCATGGTTGTGCACTCCTTCATAGGTTGTTATCACATATCTTGAGTCATCCCTATCCCTTTCTACCCTTTTCTTCACATTGCATCCACCATCTGAGCATTTAAAATAGTTCCTGTTCATCAAAGAGCACCACCCTTTTGTCAAAATAAAGTTTACATAAATTGGAGGTCCCAACTTTATGTCCACTATCTTGAATTTCTTTACTCGATCATTCAAATAAACTGGTAGGGGACCATGTCAAACTCCAAACACAAGCGATTCTATATTTCCCATTAAAAAAACTTGGCAGAAATGACAATGAGAAGTGATCAAAGTTCAGCATTGCAAAAATTCTTTATATTTCTAAAAAGAAAAAAAAAAAAAAAAACCAAAAATAGATTTTCCCTTCAAAGCCTTGATGATTTGTTTGATATGGTATAATTTTTTTTTTTAGAAACCCTGATGGCTTGTTTGATAGGGCAAGGCAATCTGAACAGGAAGGAAATAGAAGATTAATATATTAATGGCAGTCGTTTGAGCACGTACCAAGTGGCTTATGTGATGCCAAAACCTTAAACAGCGATGTTTTTTGTTTTTAAAATGATTATTCAAGTAAAAAAGAAAAGGTCCAAGAAAAGGGTGACCAGTGATTAAGAAAGCCTACTCGTAACTGAGGCAGCCAATAAATGGATGTTAGAACGTTTGGTTGAGCTAAAAAGTAAATTTAATTTATATCTACTTTGAGGTTCGTTTCTTGAAGAGATTAAGTTATTTTTTTATTTCTAATTAAAAAAGTAACTTATTTTACAGCTTTATTTAGAGTACCAACGCATCTGTTTCGAGTACATAGGCAAGAGGGGTGCTAAATAATCATTCCATTCATTTTGCACATATTTTACTATTGATTTTGTAGAAATTTTTTTTCCTAGGTTCACTAGTTATACCCTCTCCATCTCACAATCGGGTGACATACAAGGGAAAGTTTGGTGTGTGAAACAATTTTATTGGATTAATAAGAAAAAAAAGGTTAAAATCTTATAGTTTTCTATGTACAAACATACAAGTAAATTAACTAATATGGTGTCTTAACATATATTTTTTTATTAAGTTATGGTTTAACAACGTGTCAAAGTAGATAAATATCCTAAGTTCAAATCATTATATTGACACACACACACACACACACACACAGATAGATAGATGGATGGATGGATCGATATGGCCATGTGTCCAAGCCAATAGATAATACAACCGTTTGCTTTGGAAGAGCATTTGTCTATCTTACCTTACACAGATTTTTATCATGTTATCCAGGATTCAACTGATCCCTATATCATATGAGAGATTTAAGCTAAATTCTCAATTGATACCAAGATTAAGTTCGAGTTTCTCATAAAATAGAGGTCTTAAGTTTGAATTATAACACAAGCGATAAAAATTCGTGAGCGATAAGATTTGCTCGTTCTCTTCCAAAGCAGACGGTATATATAATACAATGGTTCGGGTATAGAAGCTTGGATCGCTCTAATGCGTATGATGGACCATCTATGAAATTACTTTGATATGTACGTGGGTGGACGAGTAGAGGACCATATAAATAAAATAAATAAATTACCTTGTGTTCAAACAATTTGATCATTTTAGATAAAATTGATTTTTGAAATGTTATAATCAATTTAACAATGACTAGAGCTACCTCCTAAATTCGAAAGTACTGAACTAGAAAGTGTTATATCAAGTTTAAGAAATTTTTCCACATTCTTGCATGCAATCCCTACTTCACAAAAAATGAAAATAAAAATTATAGGATTATTGTCATCCTTTGTGTTCAATGAGTGAGCAGAGTGAATGATTGGCTCATTCTATACTACAAAATCATAAAAGAAAAACACTTATGGAAGCATGAAATAAGAATAAGAACAATACATGTTTGCCCTGAATAAGAGCATCAAAATTTGATATTTCATCTTAAAACGTCAATTTTAGTAAAGCAAATAATTCATATCCATGTATGTTGATTTATATTTCGATATTTAATCGAAGTCAAATTTATCATGAGATAATGATAGATGAGACTTTAATTAATGCCTCTCAAATGTAGCTATATAGCTAGCTATATTAAAGAATTAATTTCAAGATCAAATCACAACGAATGAAAAGATCTATCAAAATAATTGTGAAGAATCACTAGTTTTTTATTCTAAATTTATGTCTCCCATATGTTAAACTTGTAATCATTGTTGACAGCACTTTCAATATGCTAAGTTGAAAAGCAAATATTAGGTGAAATGAATTACCTCGGATTCGGGCTGTTCTTGATCACCTTTTTCCCATATTTTCTCCATTTAAATCCATCGTCCATGATTTCCATATTTGATTTGGTTCTAAACACGAACCTACACTCGCTTTGTGACTTGTATTTCTTCTCTCTTGATCTATGCTCCCTTTCAATAAAAAAAAACAAATAAATAAATATTTTCCTATCTAGTTATTTTCATGTTCTAGCTAAATCAAGCAAGAAAATAAACAAGAATCAAGAAAATATAGGGTTCAATTTGGACTTGCATGTTATTGGCCAATCGACTTGAATTCGAAGATTCATTGACGATGTTTTCAGCCGGGATGACCGTATTTTTCAAGAAAATATCTTCTCCAAAGCCATCTTCAAACGTGTAATAATCATCAAACGGCTGGTTGATAATTTCTTGATTAGGGTTAGGGTTAGGGTTTTGATACTGAAAATTAGTATCCATTGTGGTGTTGAATTTGGGAGATTTTGATAATGTGGAAATGGCAAGTCATCTGAGAATTAGTATCCCTTTTTTATATTTTTTTATATATATAATTTATTTTTTATTTTCTTTTAGCTTTGCAGCTTCATCAACTCTTCCTGGAAGGTTACATGAGGGTCCCCTCATGAATCCACGTGGCATTTTGGGACTGTTGATGACGTCATCATGCTTACGTAACATAAATTGATAGATCCAATTGGGTCAAGTCATGATGCATATCTCCTAATCTGTCCACAATTATTCCGTTTTTAACGGGCAATTTGTGGGGTTATTGTCAAATGATCACAATATTTAATTTTTTTTTAAAAAAATAATATTAGTTATATATCGATTAATGTTATTTTACATGCCGAACTTCTTGTTATTAATCTTTTCAACTGCACGAGGATTGAAAGATTTATATTTAAAGAACTGAATTCGACGACCGATGTAAGAGTACCTCTATATATGTGAACGAGAAGTTTAAATTGCCCCTATTCACAAGTCGTAATAAATTGACTCGATATTCTCCAACCCTCTATACAGATATACGTCAAATATTTTTCGCATGTACTTTTGGTTCTATTACAAGATATCTCAAAAATCTCTTATCGAAAAAAGAAAAAAAAATGGAATTTAAAGAATATAAATCCATCCATAAGATGTATGCTATGAAAAAAAATAACTTATCGTGAGATTAATTTCTAATTTTAGGATAAAATAAATAAGAATATCGTTTTTTAAAGTTAAAATTAAAATCCATTTTAAAGAATACTATTATAAACAAAATCAAGAAAATTTTATGGGGACATTTCGTGACAAAAAGAGAGCAATCAGATATTTTATATTGAAGAAAATATTACAATAATTGTCAATTTCATCTAAGACTTGTTTGAGAAGTGAATAATTGTGAGAAAGTGCTATGAAATGTCTTTGGCTGCTAAAATTCTCTTGGCGTGATAAGGTAATTTCTTTAGTCTCATTTAATCATAATTGTGTTCCCCCGCATCTAAAAGGAGGCTTCCTCGTAGAGGTGCATAGGCCATCTTGTCTATATAGTCGGGTTCTAATAGCTCTGTTTTGCAACACGTTAACAGTAAAATCGAAAAAGAAGAACGATAAAATCAACACATTTAAGTGGTTTGATAGTATGTCTACATCCACTATTTTATGGCGCTCATAATTCACCAATCTCGAATAGAATTACATAAGATTATTTATATAAAACCGTTAACTCGAAAATACCTTACACCATAACGTACCCCAACTTATCTGTTTCCTTGGTAAGCCAACGAGCTAGTTGATTTTGCTATGGGTCCGATCCAATTCTCTTCCTCGACGAACCCTCATATATAAAATATTCATTAGAACAAAGTTCAAATCTACGAGTTTGTTAAGGACACCTGGTGCCATGGACCCCCATCCCCACCCCCACGCCCACCAAACAGCCATCTTGACGGGTCTATAATTTAAGAAAATGATGCCCCCAGGGCATATCTCCCAGTGGCAAAGGGGAGGGCGGTTAGGGCTCAGCGCGGTAGTGTGCAGAGTTCGATTCCCCGCAAGGTGGAATTGGCTTTGTTGCAAGCGGGAGTTACCATAGGGTTAATAGCCCAGGCCTATCCATAAGCTCTCCACCCTGGCTCCTGGGAGGCACATCCTGCGATTTACCTCCTCCACAATGGTCCAGGGCAGGGTCGGTGGGGGCCCTCAAGGTTGGGGTTCAACCTTTTTTTATAATTTAAGAAAATGATATGGGAAGACAAATGACTATTCATTGATGGAGTGTCAAATCTCTCTACTGTACAACGGAGTGACGGACTGTGAATAGGGCATTGTTCAATTAAAAAATGGCTATTTTGTAAATATAAAAAAATCAATTAATAAATTAATATGAAAAGCTTAGTGCTAACTAAACACTCACATAATACATAGAAAATGTAGTTCTTAGAATATATTGCAATATCTAAGTGATTAACAATAATTATTGAGAAAACATAGAAGAACATCAGGGGTACAAATTATGGGGAAGAGTTTCATATTGCAGTTCCCCATACAGGGGTGGGCGTGGGTTGGATTTTGCCCCAATCCAAACCCAACCCACCGTGGTCGGTTTGATTTAAAATCAAACCAACCCAATCCATGTAAATGTCCCAACCCAACCCAACCCAATCAAGTGTCGATCGGGTTGGGTTGGATTGGTCGGGTTGCCAAAAACTATTTTTAAATTTTTGTAGCCAAAAGTAATATTTTGTCAGATTATATGTATTGGATGGGATTCTAAAGTGTTAACCATGCACCAAACTTAAAGAAATGACTAAAATTGTTCTTAAAAGTTAAAACTATCTACCTAAAGTTACTTTCATTTGTTTAGTGCACCAATTGCATACCTCACTATCCATACTAAAAATTAAAATAACAATAATAATAACCAAGCATAATATCCCTGATAATCTGTTATACATCAATAAACACCAACATGTTGAACAAATAAAGTTACAACTCAATTACTCAAAAGACATGATTAAACTGAAATATTAAACATTAATAAGATCTTGCTCTCCTTTCTGGGCTCAAGGCAGATTAGGAATTTAGGAGGATAATGGGGCTGCATCCATGAATGTTCCAGATCCTGATTTTCATGAAATTTGATGAATGAATTACTTACGTTGGGCCCGTGGTCATTTTCAGTTGATTTTGAATTCACTGAATCTAAAAGTTCATCCATTTGGTTGTAATGCTCAACATCTTCCATGCAAAAATCATCCAAGTTCGGAGAAGTTTTCAACCAATTTTGAGTACATACTAAGACTTCGACCATCCTAGGACTCAAGGAACTACGAAAGGATCAAATATCCTTCCTCCGTACTAAATGCACTTTCTGAAGCAACAGTTGACACTTGAATCGCCAACACATCTTTGGCCAAATTGGACAAGACACCATACTTATTTTTCTTAACTTTCCACCAATCTACAACTTCAAAATCTTTTGTCTCTATGCTTTCACCAGAATCCAATAAGTATCTTTCCACGTCATTTTTTATCTCAACAGAATCCTTCAGTGCTTGTTTTTCCATAAATCTACTAAGGTGAGCATCCCTTGTAGAAGAAGAACATCCTTTAGATGTATTGGTACAACTTCTAGACTCCTCGGTTGACACTTTACTACTTCCATCAATACTTTCATGACACACATACCACTCATAAATATCCATCAAATTGGCTTTCAAAGATTTCATCATGTTACTAACAACTTCCTCATCCATATATAAATCATTCAAACAATATTCAACATAATCAATTTTGTATCTTGGATCGAGGATAGTAGCAAAAAGCAACAATTGATTCACATTTTCCATTTTACCCCAATACTTATCAAACTTCTTCTTCATGTTAGTTGCCATTTCACCCAACAAAAAGTTTTTACTTAACCTCCATTCATCCAATTCGAGTACAAGATTACAAATTTCATGAAGATAAGCACAAGCACTAACTTGCAATGAAGCACTAAAAGTCAAAGTCACATTATAGAAATTTTGAAGAAATTTGACAAACACAGATGCACTTTCCCAATTTGAACTCGAAGGAGGTCCACCCCTCCTTCGAGTACTATCATCTTCGCGAAAATAATGCAAATACTGAGCATCCTCATCTTCTAACCTATCGAAAGCTTTTTCAAATTTTAATGCCGTTTCCAACATCAAATAGGTAGAGTTCCACCTAGTTGGAACATCCAAAAACACAATAGACTTACAATCAATCTTCTCTTTTCTAGCACACTCTTTCAATTTTTCATACCTAGTTGGAGAAGATTTTACATATTTGATTGCATAGCGAATATGCACAATGGAGTCATGTGCTTCCTTCAACCCTTCACCAACTATCAAATTGATAATGTGTGCACAACATCTCAAGTGCAAATACCTCCCTTCTAGAACACATCCATCACTACCCCAAGCAACTACCTTTCGCCTAAGATAAGAAATGACTGTGTCATTGGAGCTTGCATTATCAACAGTGACTGCAAAAATTTTCTCAATCCCCCAATCATGCAAACAAGTCTCAATCATTTTTCCAATAGTTTCTCCCTTATGATTTGGAATGACACAAAAATTCAAAATACGCTTATTAAGCGTCCATTCAGAATCAATGTAATGTGCTGTAAGAGACATGTAATTAATATTCTGAATAGAAGTCCAAGTATCAGTTGTAAGGGAAACCCTTTGACGATGAAAATGAAAGACATCTCTCAATTTCAGTTTTTCATCCAAATACAACTGATAAATGTCTCTAACGAGAGTCCTACGAGATGGAGGCTAAAAATGAGGGCATGCTACACGACAAAAATGCTTAAAACCACGAGCTTCGACAAACTTAAAAGGTAATTCATCAACAACTATCATTTTAGCACATGCAACCCTATACTCTTCCTTGCTTCGACCAACAACAACAAGATTGCTTCCTCCACCCTCTTTGTTGTTTTCAAATGACAAGGTTTTCTGCTTCTTATCCACCAATCTACCTGGATACTTCTTACATTTATTTGTCAAATGATTACTTAATGTACTAGTACCACACTTCTTAGTGCCACAAGCATAATCTACACCATAATAATTGCACTTACACCTAACATCTGGATCATCCTTTGAGCCTAGTAGAGTGAAGTGATCCCAAACATAAGAAGCAAGTCTATTTGATTTTCGTTTACCCAATGTTGACGGTGCACGTGGAGGAAGACTAGATTGCAAATCTGTGTCTGTGGCATTTGAGTCTGATTGAGGTTGTGCGCCAGTGCCACTTTCTTCTTCTACATCCATATCTACCAATTATCCCTGAAAATAATGTGATGGTTAGAGCCCACTGAGTGAAGCAAACAATTTTTAAAATAGAGATGTCATTGTAATTTTTCAAAATACAGAAAATGCAAGCATCAATAGTTCAAATTCCTCAAATATACAATTCCTTTGTTAAATTTTCCCCTG